AATACGACAGCATTTTCAGCTTTTTAAAACAATTTTTCAAGAGAGTAAAAAATCTGAAGGATTTTGTTTGAGTATAGAGAGCAGGGTTTGGATGCAAGATGGCAAATTCTCCCACGTAAAGATATACACAGACAATCAGAATAGAGAAAATCTAAACACAAAGAACGTATTTCTGAGTCAGAAGTCTGGGCACTACCACTTGTGTGGCGTCTTCCTCCCACGCTGGGCAACTTTCTACTGTCTGTATTCATTTTTAATCATACAAAAATAGGAGTGCAGACCAGGTGAAGATAATCTTTTTGTTGTTGTTGCGTACACATGTAACTCATTAGTTTTCTCTTATAATATTTATATTCTACAAGTTCCAATAGTTTCTGAAGCTGATGTGTGTATGTGTATGTATATATATATATTTAAATTAACTAGTTACTGACTAACTAGTTACTGATAAATTAACTAGTTACTGATTAAATTTAACTAACTAAATTTAACTGATTAAATTTCAACTAACTGAAATTAAATTTTTACTAGTTAAACCATAACTAGTTAAATTAGATACATAGCCAGAACTAGTTAGTTGTGATATTAGATCTCCAGTTATTGGGACACAACACTCAGCACATGTCATTTAAAGGAGAGAAGAGCTTAACTGGGCTCATGGTTTCGGGGGATGCTGCCCATGGTCAGCTGGCTCCAGGGAGAAACGTCCTGGCAGATGGGCATTCTGGCCACAGCTGCTCCCTTTGTGGCTGCTGAGGAGCTGAACAGGAGGGGACAGTGCCAGGGAGGAAAGGGAAGAGGGACAAGAAGTCGTATCCAAGGTCACACTGCTGTGAACTGCTCAGACACACCCAGAGTAGGCCTGGGAGGCTCCTAAGCTGATCAGCTTGACTCAGTGAAATTTACTGTCACATCATTAATTGTTTAATTCACATCAAATGCCTTTTTCTAAAGACTGAGGTGATTTGAAAAGATTTCTTAAAGATAGAGCTGGCTTGAAAGAGGGAGCTGTTTTCAAACAAATTTTTTTTGTCTTTTAAGATACTTGTTGCTATAAATTAGCAATAATATTGCCTGAGTTTATGTATTGCTGGGGCAAATAAGAAAGAATATATGTGAAACATCAATGTTCATTCCTCCTCTCCTCCAGAGGAAGAAAAACAAACACACTACCTAGTTCACCTTAGGTCACCGGAAAGGAAGCTTGGTGCTATTGTCTGTTTCTTTTTTTCTAAGAATCTTTTTGGTTTATATCGTGTACTCTGAGTTATACTTTGAAGATAATGACACACATTGTGTTAACTATTGTTCTCTTAGTATTGTGTTATGAAATTTCATTTTATTCAGAAACTAAAAAACTTAAATAATAAATAATCATAAACTTCACATAATTTGATTTTTACATTTTTAATTCTTGAAAACAGTAAGCTTAAAAGAAGATTAAATGCTCCTCCATGTTAAGGAATGCAGCAGACATAAAGCTGTGCTACCTTTCATACCAATTAATCATTTACTCAGTAACATTTTAAAATTTAGTCATAATAATGCTTTTTATGTTGGAACATTCGCATTTATTGCTGAGATAAAAGCCTATTTTCCTCTTAGGAAAAAAATGTGACTGCAACAGAGAAAGAACATGGAGCTCAAATCAAACAGAAAAACAGCAGTTTCAACCATTAACCTCCTGAACTTTACCCAGTAACCTGACAGCTCTAACAGGCATCGCCTACGAATATCACTAAAAACGAAATTCGCAAAGAGGATGGCAGGGATTCACTCTATACATTGTAAATAAAGCTACTGGAAAAGAAAGGGCATAGGAGACATCAACTAAAAATAAAGGAAGCTAAGGAAGTAATAGATGGGAGAAAATAAACAGAAATGCATGTGCACACCCCATTAAATCAGATGAAAACACAAGACCTGAATATTTCAGAGAGAAACCTGATCAATAACATAATTGACATGAGAGGATAAAATTAATGACATTTGAAACTTTAGTGAAAGGATTGCTATAAACTCTAATCACATTTTTAGTGGAATTATGTCTAACATCGCTTGGTAACCATAAAGTTTTCATGATAGGTTTGGGAGAGGACAGGTTGGCTCCCTTCTGAGCAGGGGACCTTGATTTCCACCACATGGAACTGTCTCTCTCAGCTTTGGCATTGATGTGCTCCTGGGAGTAGATACAAGCACAATCAAGACTGCAAAGACTGCTGGTTTTACAAGCTTATTTTCTTAGTCTAATTCCAAAATGTCATCTCTAAAGGGAATTAATTAGCAATTTTGTCTTCCCTTGAACAGCCCTTGTCTCATTCACCATCTCATCAGGGATTTTGTACAGGAGTAATCTATGGAGACACCAAGTTCCATATTCCACATATTCCAGAAAAATACCCAAGGCACAGTATCAACCTCACAGAGCTGGGAGAGGCTGTCTGACCTGTGAGGCTGGGCTTGTGTTTGAGCAGGCATGGAGAAGGGTGTAGACAGAGTGAATTCTTCCTTCTTAGGATCTGTTTCACACACACACACACACACACACACACACACACACACACACACACTCACACTCTCCTGGGTTCAGAAACAGCTCCCCACAAAGCATGGCTGCATGCTTTGGAGAAAGGTGTGGAAGCAGCCAGGTCACGCCCTCCCTGAACCACACGGCAGGAGGACATCTCACAGGATGAGCTTCCCGCCCACATCCAGAGGAAAGGCGCACACAGTCTCTGCAGGCAGCTGGCCTCGGCAGGTGCCCCGGTTTATCCCCATGAGCTCGCACCCCTCTCCCCAGCCAGACTTCTCCAAGTCTGCCCTTCTCTGACAAACCTGAGCGTAACACCACACAGTCTCCCTGGTTCTTCAGGGCTCCGTTCCTTAGGAAGACTCCTGGGTGGTATAAAAGTGATAGTAAACTCATTTCTATGGTTTTCCCTTGCTAATCTGTCCTTTGTTATAGGAACCTCAGCCATGAACCTGAAATGAGAAGACAAGAACTTTCTTCTGCCTACTGGGTCCACTTTTGAAGGTCAAGATCATGGAAGCCTGAAGCAAACTCACTGGGAGAGGGGGAAGAGATGATGACTCCGGCCCACAGGAGGTAGGGAGTCCTGTGTCCAGGCCTACACACCTCACAGGAAGTCCTCAGATCTCCTGGGGCCAGCAAGTGGCTGTCTGGCCAGGACAATCCATGACTGATGCCCCCTGAGGTTGAGATACAGATCGTGTAGCATCTGGGCCACCTCCTCTGCTCCACAGGAAATCATAGGACAGACAGAGTGTCCATCAACTGGGAAGATACCACCGACTCCCAGACAGGCCGGGGCCCTAGTGTGAGCCTTCGATCCTGAGATCCACACACAGGACCCCAAGGCCCTGGCTCCTGACCTGGCAGCCGACAGCTAACTTGGAGAAGGCTCCTGATGACGGGCTGTGCACCACCACCAGGCGGATGATAGATGGTGGGGAAGCCGCATTTAATTGGATTCAAGGAAATCGAATAATGTGCTGTGTCCTTCCCATGTTATAGAAAAATACCTATTACATCAGAAAGGAAATAAAGAACCTTAATATAATCATGATGATTTTAGTCTACACTAACATCACCTGGTCGATTTAGAAAAAAATCGTGGAGGTCGTGCTGGAGGACATAACCTCTGGCACTGTTTCTTGGTTTAGTAGAGGAAGCAGAAATGATGTTTAAGCAGCATGAGAATTAAGTAGGAGCAAATTGCAACAATGTTACAATTCTATCAGTGCCAGTTTAAGATGCACTTCACCCCCTTGGATGCCCAAGACACCCAAGTTAAAGGGGCACTACCCTCTCCACCGCAGGGCCTTCTGTAGGTTCTGGCTCTCTCATCTCAGCTCCTCCCCATGAATTCCTTGTACATGCATGTATACACACACACACACACACACACACACACACACACACTCATCTCTCCCTATGCCGTGGGTTAGGAGGCATCTTAAACACACTTACTCTTACAGGAAGCCTAATGGCTAGCATTTCACATCCTGATCAATGAACACCATTTCTCTGGCAAGCTTTTTGTTTCTGCTTGGTTCTATCCACTGTGCACTTCAAGCATGTGCTTCCACTTTCAGAAAATAATGAATTCAGTCTTCTGAGCTGGGTTCATTTTCTGCCCTGGTTCTGTGGTCTTCTTAAGCCATTCAGCTCAAGAAGTTTGTTCTCAGTGAACTAGAGTACTCCAGATGCCTTGCATTTTAAATATCAACTCATGTCTTAATTCTCAGCCTCAAATACAAATTCTAATATGCACATGGACCTTACATAGTGATCTGTGTCAATGATGATTAATTAGCAATTCCGTGGGCTGAAGATCAACTGACTACATCTAACTCACCACACATATATGCTCCAAAGCACTGGCCTGTGATGTTGATCACGGCCTAATTAATGATGTGCCACCTCCAATGGCTTAGAGAGAGGGGACCTCACCCATGTTCCCCGCTACCAGCAGGCATAAGCGCTGGCACTGTGATAATAAGCATGACGGATGGAAATTCATTAAAATACCAAGGAAAACCCTCCAAAATGGCTCTTAATTAAATGGTCTCCAGCTAAGCTGCAGTCAAAATGTGAACTTTCCCTGCATTCTATTCAGCTGAATGTCATGTTGACTGCACTGCCTATAGGGGTGCCTTGAACTAATAACAATGCTTCCTATTTACATAGTTCTTTTAATGTGTGATTCCTGCAGCGCTTTACAAATATCATCTTATTACCTCACAGGGTGAGTTGATTATAGAGCTGGGGACAGAACCCAAAACCTCAAAACTCCCCATTATTTATAAGAACGGTTCTATAAACATCGCAAGTGGTCTACTATAATATGCCACTTGGATAGGAGAAACAAAGTTTGACATGAACTCTTTGACTCATGTAAGTATCTTAATAAAAGGAAACGGCAATTGCCCATAAAGCCTTCACTTCCCTAATTTTCAAAAAAAAAAAAAATACTCACTTTCTAACTCTGCTATCCACAATACAGTGGGTTTCAAGACTGGATTGTGTGTTGCATGAATACGTCTGCTGGTGGACAGGTGATGATTCCCTTCCAGGGAATTGATGAATGCCTCCAAATCTGCATTCATCAATGTGGTCTCACCTCAACACATCAGCTATGGCTCTATGATTTCTAGACTTAGCAACTGAAACAAGCTCACAATCCGGAAGCTTTGGACATGTGTATTCTTTCGTTTCCATGCCTACCGGTTGGAGGTTTTGTACCTAGTGTACTTGAGTAGAACAGTATCAATTCAAGCACAATTTACCTGGGTCCTGACTAGAAATATGGACTGGTACATTTGGATGTTACAAGGTAAGATTGATCCTATGGTAATATTTTTGGATTATTTTTGTACTTTAGAAATTCATATGGGCATCTTAAGTTGTCCCTGTATTTCATAAGAAAATAGTACTTATTGTGTATAAATTAATTCTAGAATGCTTTGCTCTAAAGGGAGGATACTTTATGAGCTATCTATTTACTAACTTCCTGGGCTATTTTTAAGATGCCATTGAATATTCTTCCAAAGCTGCAGAACACAGGTCAGCAGGAGCTGCTGCGATCCACAGAGTAGCAGAGGTGTAGCAGAAGAGCACATCCCCTAAGCTTTTCCCGCCTGAGCCAGCCTGCACATCCTGTCCTTCCCAGTGGAGATACCTGAGGCTGTTAATTGTGTGTAGCATTTTTGTGGCTCTCAGTTTGGCTCTATTGGAATGTCCCCCCAGAGCCCCAATGCCACCTCCTGTGGTGGCTTGCACGTGGGGGTCACTGTATGTTCATATAAATGATTAAAAACTTTCCTGAGATAAAAAGGACACCTCCACTCAAAGAAGATCCACAAACATGGTTTTCTCCCCCTTAGGAATGGGCAACACCATCACAACAAACACAGTGCAGAAGCACTGGAAGTGGAAGGGGTCGGTTGGCTGCTTCCTAACATCCCACGGCCTGGAGTTATGGAGACCAGTACGGTCGGCTCTTCTACGTCAGGTAGCCTCTTTCAACACCAGAAGTGTCATTACCACGCCCATAACTCAGCGTCACTATTACTTGACGCATTAGATGACAGAGAACAGTTTTCCTTAACTTTAATAAGTTTGTACGCTGTCAAAAGTTCTCATTCAACAAGCCGCAGTGTGAGTGCCCTCGCTTCAGTCCTGAAGAAGCCAAGGAAGCCGTTTAACTTGGTTAAAAAGAAATGTAAAAAACAAAACGTCTGCTTCTCTCTACAGTGCTGAACAACGGAGGTGCTGTTGCTAGTGCACTCTGATCCTAGATGGCCAAAGAGCCAAGCAAGAAGGTTGCACAAGTTCAGGAAATATCCGAATGCTTATATTGAAACATTTACTGGTTAATCGATTAAAATTATGATTGTTCATAGAAAATGGTACCTATGTCATGAAATGAGATTCTGGAAAAAGACGAAATTGTAAATTAAGGTTTATCTATGAGCAAGGCTTCCCCAGTTCCCTAAACCGTGCAAATGTGGTGCTCCAAAAATCTGATCTTTTGCGAAAGAGTCCTAGCATTTACTTTATGACTTCATCAACTGAACTTTTAGGTCATGGTCTTTGCCGAAAGGTCTGAAGTTGTGAAGGTATTATTGCGTTATGCTTTGAAATGTGCACCTTTAACGTGGTGCCTGGATATGTCTGATGATGGTTTCCACCTTCCTGACAGCACAGCACCGTACAGGACATCTTCACTGTGAGTGAAGGCAGCTAAGGAATCAAAGAACGTTACCCAAAATAACTGCAAATCAGCAACAAACTCCAGTGATGTACTGCTAAGCAGAAATTAGACTGGAAAGCCAGGCTGTCAGCAGAATGAATAGGTGGAGAGTCTAGTTCCAGCTGTAAGCCTTAGTTTAATTTTCTTCCCTGATAACCTCTAGCTCAGGTTGTTATTTCAAAGTCACCCTTGACTCACCTAGATAGCACCTATTACGAAAGCAACCAGCATCTTGTAGCATGTTTAGTAATTATATTCATCTTTGCAGCATCCTTCCTGACAATTTCATCATTGGCAGAACTCCATCTGTGGAGGTTATTTGGGTTTTCTCCCTTTCTGACCTTATGTTCTATGATGAGGGTTCTGTCGTGCAAATACCATTTGTTATGTCATCTTGGCAAACACGCTCCCTTCTTCCAGGAACTGCAGCGAGATTATTTATTTTCTGCAGTCCATCTCTGCCTGTCAAGTCTTCCCTAATGGGGTGGGCGGAAGGTCTCCTGCCCGCTTCAACCAGGCTTATTTTCAACCCGATTTCATTAAGACCGGGGGGATGCTCTATTGGGACTGTGTGGATTGGAATTCTAAACTTATGACCTTCCAATCTTTCTTCAAATCTAACCGCAACAGATAAAGTCCAAGAGGTTTTAAATTTGATAGTGTTTTCACATTTCTCAAACATGTTCCTATAATTTGCCAAAAAAACGTGAACTTGGGCCTGGGACCTTTTCTCTTACTCCCTCCACTCTGTTGATGGCAAATAGCGCGCAGCCTCTCGATTCGTCTCCTCTCTACGCACAGCCGCAGAGCCGGTGCCCACAAGCGCTCCCCATGCCACCCGCATCTCCAAAACCCCGCCCAAGCCGCCGGAGCCACAACCAGGGCTTCTGCCCGTCCCCACCCTGGCCTACCTGGCATCTGTCCTGGGCACACAGAAGGGCAGTGTCCTGACCCATCTCAGCTAAAGTGCCCTCGGAGGCAGCTCCCAAAACCCACGTCTGAAGGACACAGGCTGGCTTCACTATGAGAAGTGGGTAAATTCATGAAGGGAAATTAACAGTGCACAAAAGTAGAACAGTACTTAAACTCAGGCTCGGCTTGCCAGATCTAGTCCCTGATTGCTTTCTGCAGCCAGATTTGAAGGTGTGGAAACCCTGCTGTGGAGCTCAGGGCTGCTCTGGGAACAGGGACTGGAGGGGCGGTGGATAGATGAACAAACCGGAAGAGATATGTCCAGCTCCAAGCCCAGGCACCCGGGGAAGAAAGACAGAGAAGGTGCCCTAAAGGTGCGTGGTTCTGGCTGCAGAGCACAGAACAGCAGAAGAGCCCCTGAGGGAGGAGCTGGACGAACATCAGGTCCCCAACTCTCCCAGTGAGTCTGGCTGTGGGTGTTTTCAAACTAAGTCCTCCTCACAGAACCACCTCAAATCCACGCACACCAGGAAAGTCTCCTACCCAACCTGATGGCATTGCCTAAAAAACCCTCAAATCCTCACATTTCTGCCCTAGAGCTATGGAGCACATCTGACCAGAACAGAACACCAGCCCCCTCAGGTAATTGCTGAAACACTGTCTCTTAGCTCACGCCCAGCCCACGCCAGCCACCATGTCCTCTTCCTGTGACTCCTGGAGCAGAGGCCATCCTTGGCAGGCCTGCCATCTCGCCTTTGGTTAGGGTACAAGTCCTTGCCTGGTGCCGGGATGTCTGGCACCAGAGCTCTCCAAGTTCTTGATTTCCCTCGGATGCTCTGAGGCTCCTTCCTTAGCAAGCATCTGAGTTCTGAAAGGCGAGCCAGTGTGAACAAGTCCACACCTAAAAGTGGAGACAGGAAGAGAAGCGGGAGCAGCAGACACTGTGCACGGTGCAGCAGAGGGGCATGAGGGGAATCCCGGAAGAGGAAGCTGTGGCCAGGAGGACTTCCTGGACACAGGCTCTGCTGGGCCAACCACCCTGACTCCTCCAGCTGGCGGTCCCCTTCTGACTGTCCATCTGAATCAGTCCCACTGCATTCCCCTTCTTTGTCCTCCTGAGGTCAACACCTTTAACTTTGCCGCATTGTACTTACTGTAGTTATGCACAGCTGTGAGAGGTCCGGGATGAGGGGCACTGGGTCTCCTGAGCCCATTGCATCTTCTCAGAGCTATGATATGCACAGTGGTGTTCATCCTCTAAGCCCTTCCGTATGTTTTCGAATGTCTATTTTCTGGTTTCCTTTTCCTCATGAATAAAGGGGTCTGTAGTGGCTTTCAAAGGTCCAAACAACTTCCTTCTCGCCCATGTTGCTTCCTAGTTGGCATCTGTGCACCCTCCCAACTAAGCTGGTGCCTTCGAGGTTTTGCGCTGAAATGGAGCTTGAGGTCAGCAGCACGGAGAACTTCCCACAAGCATGAGGCACATCACTGTCTGTGCCTCCTTGTGCCACACCTTCACCCACACGCCAAGGCTTTGGAACATTCCCTAATGGATATTGCACCAAGGGTTTCACTTGAAAAGTTGCATTACTCATGAATGATGAGTGAGATTACTTCTGATCTTATGTTGACTTGCGATTAGCCTCGCCATTATCATTTGTATGGTTTGCACAAAATAATTTCAAAGACATTTTAAGAGCAATTTTAGGCCAACAGAGAAATCAAGAAGATACAAGGGTTTCTCTCATACCCAGGGCTTGCGCGTACAGCCACCCCTAAATTGTCCACAACTCCACCAAACAGGCACAGCTTACAAACTATGATTCTCTTCTAACACATCAGCATCTCCCAAGGTGCACAGTTTGCACTGGGGTGACTCTTGGTGCTGCACGCCATGGCTGGGGAAGAGTGTGTAATGCCACAGAACCACAATCACAGCATCGTGGCTGGACAACAGTTCCCCTAAACCATTTTAACTTAAAAATGACCACCATGAACTCATTTAGATTAATGCTTGTGATGTATTTGAGCACAGATGCCCCTTTGGCCATATCTTAATTACAAGAGCGTTTATGTGGTCAGAGATGAGGGCTCTGGAGCTGGGAGGCCTGACAGGTCTTGGCTCATTATCCACTGAATTGCAGGGATTTCAGTAAGACCTGGCTCTTGATCGGCTGGGGGCCACAAACAGCACCTAGTCCATGATCAGCTGCCACTCAAGGTTGACTCTAGGTTATCAATCAACATACTGCATATAGTACCTGGGATGTTATTTTAGTCTATGGGCAAAGTAGATGTAACAGACACAGGGATGAATTGGATAGATGTATGAAAATCAAGCACTCTTAGCATCCATTTATTCAAACAGATGATAACAAAATAAAATAACCTTCAAAGTCTCACAAACCATTGCTTAGCTGCCTGCTATAAACCACAGGCTGCCTCTCCACAGAGAATTTTACATGTTTATCACCAAACATCCTTCTCTAATTTCTGCCACTCAGAGAAAATGATATTTGTGTACTGAAGGAAGCAGAAAGACGGTAATTCTAGAGATCTCCAGGGATAGGAGATGTGTTTCCTTCTCCCCCAAAGCTTTTCACTTCCCTGGAAACCCAGGACATCTGAGAGGCTAGAAGCACTTAGGGTAAAGGTAGATTTCTCCTTCATTAGCCTGGTGTTTTATGTACAAATCTTGCTTCACATTTTTTTTCTTACTAAATTGTTCTTTTCTTTTTCTCTCTGTCTGCCCAAAGTGAAGGTGAGACCCGCAAGGGCAAGGGCTTTCTCTGTCCCTCACACACACCAGTGCTCAGGTCTGCACCTAGAGTGTGTGCTGAATGATCCAGGGATTGAACAAGTGCACGCGAGACACTCAGAATTATTAAAGTCATTCCACAAGCACCACGATATGTTAGGAGTAACAGAGCTCTAAACCCAGCTCTAAAATCCATGAATTAAAAAGTAAGATCGAGGTCTGATTATCCTTACACAGTAGAAAATCAGTGTTCTCTTAAATCAACTTATACTCTGAGAAATAGGTATGATGTCTTCATTTCTCTCAATTCTTTAGTTATCAGCAAATTAGTTTGCTTTATCATGGTCATATTTGTTAATACAGGCAAGGGTGCAAAAGGTTCGGCAGCTGAAGTCAGAATGTATCCCTTCGGCTTGGGTGAAACGCTGTGCCTGATACCATTTACTCCATGGGAAAGGTTGACCAGAGCAAAACAGTCATGGTACCAATGAGTCTTGACAGTCAACAAGTTCGATGTGCTGAGACCAAAGGTGACTGTAGCGACCCGTACAGTGACTGGTGACATTATTTCTTTGGACAGTTTTAATTGCTGGTGCTGAGAGTCTGGAATATGTGGCTTACTTAACAGCTTAAAGTACAAAAGGGAAGCATTAGTCATTTGATATAATACACCATGATGAAGTACAAACACATTTACACTCTACCAGCAGAAAATACACTGGGCCTTCACTTCATAATTAGTAAATTGCTTTACATTTACAAATCCTCCTGTCAGATATACAAGAGCATCTTAATTCAAGAATAATTTAGCT